GTTTTCTTGCACAAGACTTCTTGCACAAGAACCCTTGCACAAGAAACCACCAGTGTAGGCATAGCCTAAGAGTTTCTTCCCATGAGCAGCATGGATTTTGTGTTGTGCACCAGTACTGAGTTCATGTGGCTTGTTTGGATGTGCCACTGTGGCACCCAAGTTATTAATAAATATTTTTAAACCTTTACCTTTTCTCTCTGCTGACATGTCTCCTCCCCTTGTTCCATCAGCTCCCCTGGTGCCTGCTGCCCCCCCAACTTCTCACCCTTCTCTGCTGTCCTGACTCCTGCCCTTCTCACTGTCCTCAGCCCTTCTGTGACCTGCCCCCCTCCACCAGCCCTTTTCTCTCCCTTGTGCCCACTCCTCCAGTAGCCCCACTCTGATCAGGTGAGCTACCCCTCCTCATCCCCTCTCCTAACACCTCCCGCTACAAACCTGCCCTGCTGCTCTCCTCTGGTGCTTGACCCTCCCCTGCAGGTGTCTGCCCTTCTGCTTCACCCCCAGAATCCCCTGACACCTGCACCTTCCCTTACCCCTGGATCCTCCTGCTGCCTCCCTCTTCCCTCACTGCTCCTGCCCCCTTGCCCTCTTTTTCCCTGATGTCCACCCCCTCACCACCCTCTGCCCCCGTTCCACTCACGCCTCTGTGCCCTCACACATGACTTGCTCCATTCCAGCCTTCCTCATATCCACCCCTTCTTTCAAGCCTTCTCCCAGCACCTCCTCCTCCAGCCCCCAATGCCCTTCCCCTCTCTTCTCCTCCCCCAGCATCACCCTGTCCCCCTCCCACTGACACCTCCCCTTCTGCCTTTTTCCTCATTGTCTGCACTTGGCCCCCTGGCATTCGTCTCTCCTCTATCCTGTCCCTTTGGTGCCTTCCCCTTTCTTCCCCCTCTCCACTTCCCCTCCGTATAAGCCCTTTCCCCTCCTAGCCCTTTCCCTAGTTTTCTCCCTTCCTCTACCTTCTGCCTTCCACTTTGCGGGGCTGGAGTCTGCACTCCATCCCCGAACTCCGCTCCTCCTCTGCACAAGTCCCTTCTTCTCCCAGCCCTTCCCTACATTCTGCCTTCCACTTTGTGGGGCTGGAGTCTGCACTCCATCCCCGAACTCCGAACCCACAACTCAGCTACTCGCCACAATGTGGCGCCGAGCAGTTTTAAAGTCTCAGGCCATGATGTCACGTCATGCCTGGGTGTCTCCCCGCCCACCTGTTTGAGCACGCTGCACATGGCAGCAGCAGCCAGCAAGAGGGAGCTGAGTAAAAGTTTCACATGGCAGGGATGGGCCGGGGCCGGGGCCAGGGGTAGGGCCGGGGCCGGGGGAGAGACGCTCTGGGGCCAGGGTGGAAGGACACGCGGGGGGGCCGGGGCCCACTCCAAGCAGGGCTGGAGAAACCCAGCTCCAATATTTGTGGAGCAGGGCCCCCAGCTTTGAATATTGCTGGAGCATGGGCACCATGAACCCATATAACTTGCCGCCCATGTCTGCAGAGATTGTAACTTCAGCCCCTGGGAGAATCAGGATATCTCTCAATTTATCATATCCCTACACAAGGCCACATCTGATTTTTTTCTCCCTCTTTAAAATTCAATTAACTGAGGATGCAAAACAAAATTCCATTAAACAACCCACTTCCATGAATATCGTACAGAACTTACTGTGCAAAATATAACCCTTAATTAAAGATGTGGCTAATTGTTAGCCAACTCAATCTCTAATTAAAAAACACAGATGCCTTAGCAATTTGACAACAGGCTGATTTAAGGAGGATTTTTTAAGATCATCCTGTTGTCTCCCTTTTTTGGGGTGATAATTTTAATAAGTCCCCCAATATTATACTTTTTATCTGGGATCTGATTTTTATTTTTTTTCTTATTTTGATTGCATTTAACAATTTATAACACATATAGCAAAACAATATGTTTTGTTAGACTGCAAAACACTGCATATATAATATAGCTATTAATACTATATTAATAGGGAGTAGTGTTATTTTTAAATTAAATTATGAATTTTAACCTGGGTCTTGCCAAACAACAGATCACATTGTTTAAAAAAATCTCAAATTAAAATCAACACAAATTATTAATAATTACATTATTTATTGAAGCTTCAGGGAGTATCCGAGTTAGTCTGTGCAGGATAAACTTAAAAAACAACAAAAGGTCTGGTAGCACTTTATAGACTAACAAAACATGTATATGGTATCATGAGCTTTCGCCAACTCTGGTCATCTGAAGAAGTGAGCTGTGCCCACGAAAGCTCATGATACCATCTACATGATTTGTTAGTCTATAAAGTGCTACCAGACCTTTTGTTGTTTTTTAAGTTTATTATTTATTGAGTCACATACCCATGACATTTGCAAAGAAACTGAACCACCATAGTGCATTATGATAATACACCAATGGTGATTATAATTTAATTATAACATTGAAAATATGGTACCACGAAATTGTTTTAATATTTGTATACCTTTGCTCATGTAAAAAAGATATTTTCCCACACACAACAAAAATAAAACTCTTTCAATTAAAAACCTAATAAGTCACATAACATAGAACATATAATTAAGAGACAAATAATTCCAACACTGTTATATATAAAACAAATCTTTCAAAAATGCCAAAGAGTTAAACATAGACAACAAACCATGGAACAAAGGATTAGATATTGATATTTAGGGAAGATTCAGAAAACCTAAGTATTAAAATTATCAATTACCCTTGACTTAGTTGAAATTAGCATTGACTAATAAGGCAGATGGGCACTGGAAATTTGTTCATTTCTAAAGAGAATGAAATGGGAAAAAACCCTAATTGAGTTAACCTTCTTATATCTAAATTAGGCTTCAATTTTGCCTGCTGACAGAAATTAAACAATTAAGTAAGGAACAAAAGGTATTTTTCCTTGAATGTTTGTATACTGGAAGCAAAAACAAAGGCTTTAAAAAACACATTTTATCTAGGGAAAATAAAAAAAGGAAAATCACAAGAGTCTGCAAAAAGTTTAGACACTTTCATAGAGGTGATTAATTAAATTTCCCATGACTGCCAAGTTGTGAGTAGAACAGGCTACAATGTTTTCTTTCATTAGAGACTTCAGTAATTCCTTTAAATAATACTTTGCGTATAAAGCAGAAAAACTGTACATTACTGGTTTTCTTTCCATGACCATGGTGAGTATGGATGGAATCATAACTAACTTTATACCTTTCAGATAATACAGAATAATTGCTTAGTTAGATTAAAAATATGCTCATTAACAGAAATTGGAACACAATTTTTTGTTGCTTGCAGACTGACCAATAGGAACGTGCAAGTAATGGAACAATAAATAAACATATTTTATATGCTTATTTTACATAGGGGCTTTAATTTTGCTCCTTTTCTGCTTTCTCTCTCTGCCATACTTTTACTCACTATGTTTCACATTTATTTTCAGAATAGTCTTATTTAAAGAAATTGTGAATTGTATACATTACTGACGTATTTCAAGGTTATTAATTTGAATTAACTTTTTACCAACACAGGCTCGAGCCAGCATGAGGTCCAAAGTGGCCTTCCTCTGCTCCCTTTCAGCCCAGTGCTCCTCCCAGTCAGTGGCTCACCCCTGGCATTCGTTGTTGAGCCCCTGGATGAGGGACTGGAGGTAGGCTATCTGGTCCTGCAGCGGGTCTTCATGGGTTCTTTTTCTCCATCAAATCCTGCGGACTCGGGAGGATGGCATGGGAGATGGTGGATGCACCACATTTGTAGCTGGCCGAGCTGTGAAGAAAAGTTACAAGGGCAGTCATCTCAGAAGACATTGTGTATGAAGCCTAGCCCTAATCTCTATGCCAGCACCGAAGGTCTCGGTTCAGATGATAGTGTTGTGTTCGAGCAAGGCCTTGTGTTGCTTAGACAGAAGGCACTTTCCTGCAGGGGCACAAATGTCCCAGGTGAGCATTGCTATACCCACATCCTGGGGACAAGCAGGCATGGGAAGGGGAAGGCCAGGCCAGGAGCCTGTGGGTGGGAGAAAGGGATAGGGTGGATCGGCCTCCTTCTGTGTCCCAGACATGCTGGGTCTGGCACTGGCAGTGTCCCATGGAGAGAGAACTTCTATCCCTCCCTGCTGTGTGTGAGAGGGAGGGGAAGTGGGGGAGAAGGAGTATAAGTGGCATAGGCTGCTTGCTGGAGAGAATGCTAATGGGTCCTCTGCCTCCCTCCAGCAGGTTCCCATGCCAGGGATTGGTCTCTGCCGCATTGGCGTGCTTGCCCAAGAGTGAATGCTGCCTGAGTGTGGGCATGAGCCTATGCCGTCTGGTAGGTGGAATAGCCCATCCTTAGTATTTTGTCCACCAATTAAGCCTAGTGTCCGATACACCAATTTTAGTTTACCGATTTCTAGTTCTAGACCTTTCTTGTTCCCAAGCATGATCTTAAGACAGTCTTTAAATTAGATCAAAAGGCCATTTTGTTAGGACTAATTCATCTGCGTCCTTCTCTTATCTTTTCCCATCAAAATTACTGTTATAGATTATTTTGTCATCTTAGGATCTTTCATGTACTTTTTTTTTTTTTTTTTTTTTTGCAGCTCAGCTCACAATTAGGATACATTGGCAGGCCCAGTCATTACAACAGCAGTCTGTACATTCAAGTAAGCAGGTGTACATATGGTGTCCCAGATACCGGGGAATAGAAAAGAGAAAGTGTGTGATCTAATGAGGTCCTGGGCCCAAAGGAAAAGGACTGATGTGCTGATAAAAGGTAGCTGTTCAGCATACTCAAACAGGACTATAGAATAGAGCATATGATCCACAAAAGAAGCCGTCTGGTAGAAGAAAACACTTGACAGCCGCCATACCTGACAACAAAATAATGTGGAGGAGTCCCCACTGAAACCACATATGTGGAAAGTGACCAAGAGAGGTGACCAAATACTGGCTAGTTGAGCTGCAGACCAATACCTAATTATTCGTTTTCAGAACAATGGAATAAGAGAGGCATCCAGGCAGTAGACATAAGGATATCCATGAGATGAGCTTGTAGGTCTGTCCCCAGGGGCCACAGTGGGAGTTACTCAGTTCATCCTTGATTGTACTTGACTAAACCATTGTACTTTAGGTTTTTGCAACCTTTTGCCTGCCTTGTACGGAATCCTTTTCTTTGAGTCATGCTTTGAGTGTTCATTCTGGATCCATGAGATTTTAGAACCTCTATGGCCTAGATACTGAAGTGCCTTCGGTACTTGTTTCTGAGTTGTGGTACACCTAGTCAAGTATTTGAAAAGTATTCAGGTGTCACAACACTTCAATGATTGCATGTTTAGGGATAATTACACATATAGCACTCAATGAACTATACAATAAGGAAGGAAAGGGAGATGATGATATTTAGGGCAGAGTTTGACTCTCCATTGAATTTCTAATAATTTGCCAGGTTAAAGCCAAATCTTTAATAATATTTTAATGCATATTCCAACATATGAGGAAAGACTAGTTTAATATAGGAAGCATTAGGAAATTTTATTTTTTGTTTATGTGTCTCCTCTCATGCAATATTCACAAGCACCGTTTGGTCTCTTTTCTGATAATGCCTGACAAATCATAAAATGCAATAGCTGTTTTAACAATGCTGTGCTCTTTTTTTTAGAAATCCTGACCTTAGATTAACTTTATTCATTGTTGTTTATCAAAAGCAAATTACATTCTACACTGGGAACACAGGGAAATCAAATGTCAGCTGCGAAAGTGTCACTGTTCCATTTAAAGGTTACATCTTGTTTTAATGGAATAACTGGGATGCCTAGCATGATATCACATTCCTGGAACCCCTCCAATTTGCTCCTGCATCTCCTGCATGCTGGTAGCTCTTTTTGATGATACTTCACACACACATAGAAATTCTTACTGATGACACTGGTCAAGTATATCACACGGTTTTGTTTGATGGAGGAAGTTAATTGCTTCCATATATCCTTCTCAACCATTGGACAAAAGTAAGCTGTAAAAAGAGTCTCTTGTTTGCATGTGTATTTTTATCTGATGGTCTCTAGAGAAATATGAAAAAAAATATGACAGATATCAAAATATGGAATTATTGTGCATACTCTAAATTAATTTAAACTGATCCGCCATAAAAAACCACATATGCACTGCACTATTAGACAATTTGAAAAACTAAAGGTTTAGAAAGTTCAATCTAGCTATCCCTTAACAGGTTACTTAATGAAAATACAACATTTGCAGACACTTGTTTTTTCATCACTGTCCAATATGATATAAGATGTATTTTGACATTTCATTTAATTGATTATCCACATGTGGTTTAACTCAGCTATTCAATGACATTTAAAGTGAGCTGATTAAAAATATAACCATGCTTTAGGCTGTTATGGGTTGAGTTAAAGCTTGCAAGTGTAAAAGCCTTGCATTCAAGATAAAGGTAACAATCAAACAAGCTCTTGTATGGAACTAGGTAGCTGAAACAATATGAACATGGCCCAAAAAACATAGGCACATCGCAAAGTTGTAATAGAAGCTGAACCATATGGTCTCAGGAGTGTGTCTTTGGACTGACCTTGCCTATGCAGTGGCTAGTACACATATTGATGATACTATGGGAGAGAGAGAAGCTGAAGAAAATCATAGACACGATGACAAAAGCACCGTTCAAGTGATCCCAAGAAAAAGCTGAATCAATGAGATTTTGGGTAGCGTTCTGGTGACAAAGAGCCTTAGGAACTGTGAGCAAAAACTGTCTCCTACTGTTTGATTTGAGCAGTGTTCAGGGGAACAGAACGTTGTGACTTTTTTTTGTAAATAAACAGGTTCACACCGAAGAGATACATGACTCCATCAATTTATCCTTCTGGCTGAAACAATGTGCAGGACCCTGAAAACTAGCTAACCTTTCACTTCGAAAGAGATAATATATATTATGTTAAAAACAATTTGTCCTTGTAGTGATGTAGCAAAAGCAGCACCCTCTTGTGGATCTTCTGGGTGCTGTGAGTCTTCATAGTGGGCTGGAAGAGGAGTCTATCTTCAGTGTCCACTGAGGCCCATTGATTAGTTGTCCCTTGGATTTTATCTCCTTCCAGTGAGGGTTGGGAGGCTCAGCCCCAAAATGTTCAACAATGACTACAAAAAACAAATGTAACTCCATACTGGGACATCTCCACATTTTCTGGGTATGGGAGCCTCCCTGTTTTTAATTTTGGGCTTGGTTCACGGTATGTTTTGAGTATTGCTCATTCCGTGGGATCTTACTGTTCCTCCCTAACAGCTGCTTCAGAAGCTTCCTTCTGAAGAGGGACAGCACTCCATCCTCCTTCTTGGCATGACAGCCCTTTACTGAGCCAGGGGCTCTCCTTCTATTTCCCATCCATGTTTGGCACTGGCTGCAAGTATAGCAGTGAGATACTAACTGGGCCTCAAAACTCTCTTTAAACCCTTCTTTAGGTGACCTCTCTGCCCATCCCGCACCCCGGTCTCTATTTGGTATATGCTCCATATATCCTTTGGCTCTTCTTCTTCCTCAGCAACTCCCCTCCACCTCCACTATTCAGGTGGATTTGCCAGCCCTGTGTTGGACATGGAAGAAGGTCTGGAGGGATAGATATCACCTCATATTCCAAGATTGGTTTCCTTTATGACATGGGATAAGTCATGGTGGGTGACTAAGATGAAATGATTCCCACGATGATAGTAGTAGAATCAGTTCATTACCCACTTCACTGCCAACACCTTGTTTTTTGATTACAGAATAGATTTTCTGTATTGGGAATAATTTTCTACTCACATAAAGGATGGCAGATAGTTCTCCCTAAGGCCAACAGCATCAGCCAGTCTTGGATCCATATCAGGAGACTCAGAGGAGAACAGTTAAAGTCCTCTCTGTTATCTGGGTTCCTGTCTTCATTTCAGGTTTCAGTCATCTCCAACATTGCTTTTGGATGAGGTGGTAGGACTGATTTGCCAGAGGATACTGCTCCTTCCAGAAATATTGTAGGAATGCCTCTGAGATGTCCAAAGCATCAGTCATCATAGCCACGTTGTCTTGTGCATAATCTCAGGCAGAAAAAAGTGTCTTATGAGAAGCAGAACTACCAGCGCTAATAGGAGTGCCCTCTCAGTTCGAATTAGCAGGTCTTCACTAGACCCACTAATTTGAACCTTGGAAGATTGACTGCAGCAGCGTCGAACTTCTGTACAGTGTAGACATAGCCTTAGACACCAACCTTCTTTGGAAGTAACTGTGAGCTGGAAAGCTGATCTGTGAGCTGATACAAAAATGAATACACCAAGCAAGCAAATCTGCTACAGAGCATGTATACAATAAAGAAGAAAGATCTTAGGAAAAAATAGATTTTAACTAGAGTAGAAATTAACCAAGGCAACTATGCAATCATCCAGATAGAGGCATCAGAGTGGTAGTAAGTAACCTAGCCTGCAATAGTTAATCTTGGTTATAATATAACCCACAATGAATAAAGGTTTTGATGCTCTGTAGCTTGCAACTGTTATCTATGAGTATTGTTGACTGAACTCCAGGAACAAATTGAATGTTTTGGGTGGGTTTATGAGCAAGGGCACTGTTTCAGAAGGGCAGGTGGGTCTATGGCCACACATACTGGGATGCTTCTTGCTCTTCTTCCCCTTGCCCTTACTGTCAGGAAAGGTACAGAGCTTGTATCACTTACTCCTCTGTTCCCTCTCATCCCTAGCTGGGAGTGAGAGGAATGTATGCAAGCTGTGTATTCCTCCCTCTCTCCCTGCGGGTGAGGAGAAGAGGAACATAAGAATGGCCATACTGGATCAGACCAAAGGACCATCTAGCCCAGTATCCTGTCTTCTGACAGTTGCCAATGCCAGATGCCCCACAGAGAGTGAACAGAACAGGGAATCATCAAATAATCCCTTTCCTCTCATCCATTTCCAGCATCTGACAACCAGAGGCTAGAGACACCATTCCTACTAATCCTGGCGAATAGCCACTGATGGACCTAACCTCTATGAATATATCTAGTTCTTTTTTGAACCCTGTCAAAGTCCCCATCTACATAATATCCTCTAAAGGGATAGGGTGGATCGGCCTCCTTCTGTGTCCCAGACATGCTGGGTCTGGCACTGGCAGTGTCCCATGGAGAGAGAACTTCTATCCCTCCCTGCTGTGTGTGAGAGGGAGGGGAAGTGGGGGAGAAGGAGTATAAGTGGCATAGGCTGCTTGCTGGAGAGAATGCTAATGGGTCCTCTGCCTCCCTCCAGCAGGTTCCCATGCCAGGGATTGGTCTCTGCCGCATTGGCGTGCTTGCCCAAGAGTGAATGCTGCCTGAGTGTGGGCATGAGCCTATGCCGTCTGGTAGGTGGAATAGCCCATCCTTAGTATTTTGTCCACCAATTAAGCCTAGTGTCCGATACACCAATTTTAGTTTACCGATTTCTAGTTCTAGACCTTTCTTGTTCCCAAGCATGATCTTAAGACAGTCTTTAAATTAGATCAAAAGGCCATTTTGTTAGGACTAATTCATCTGCGTCCTTCTCTTATCTTTTCCCATCAAAATTACTGTTATAGATTATTTTGTCATCTTAGGATCTTTCATGTACTTTTTTTTTTTTTTTTTTTTTTGCAGCTCAGCTCACAATTAGGATACATTGGCAGGCCCAGTCATTACAACAGCAGTCTGTACATTCAAGTAAGCAGGTGTACATATGGTGTCCCAGATACCGGGGAATAGAAAAGAGAAAGTGTGTGATCTAATGAGGTCCTGGGCCCAAAGGAAAAGGACTGATGTGCTGATAAAAGGTAGCTGTTCAGCATACTCAAACAGGACTATAGAATAGAGCATATGATCCACAAAAGAAGCCGTCTGGTAGAAGAAAACACTTGACAGCCGCCATACCTGACAACAAAATAATGTGGAGGAGTCCCCACTGAAACCACATATGTGGAAAGTGACCAAGAGAGGTGACCAAATACTGGCTAGTTGAGCTGCAGACCAATACCTAATTATTCGTTTTCAGAACAATGGAATAAGAGAGGCATCCAGGCAGTAGACATAAGGATATCCATGAGATGAGCTTGTAGGTCTGTCCCCAGGGGCCACAGTGGGAGTTACTCAGTTCATCCTTGATTGTACTTGACTAAACCATTGTACTTTAGGTTTTTGCAACCTTTTGCCTGCCTTGTACGGAATCCTTTTCTTTGAGTCATGCTTTGAGTGTTCATTCTGGATCCATGAGATTTTAGAACCTCTATGGCCTAGATACTGAAGTGCCTTCGGTACTTGTTTCTGAGTTGTGGTACACCTAGTCAAGTATTTGAAAAGTATTCAGGTGTCACAACACTTCAATGATTGCATGTTTAGGGATAATTACACATATAGCACTCAATGAACTATACAATAAGGAAGGAAAGGGAGATGATGATATTTAGGGCAGAGTTTGACTCTCCATTGAATTTCTAATAATTTGCCAGGTTAAAGCCAAATCTTTAATAATATTTTAATGCATATTCCAACATATGAGGAAAGACTAGTTTAATATAGGAAGCATTAGGAAATTTTATTTTTTGTTTATGTGTCTCCTCTCATGCAATATTCACAAGCACCGTTTGGTCTCTTTTCTGATAATGCCTGACAAATCATAAAATGCAATAGCTGTTTTAACAATGCTGTGCTCTTTTTTTTAGAAATCCTGACCTTAGATTAACTTTATTCATTGTTGTTTATCAAAAGCAAATTACATTCTACACTGGGAACACAGGGAAATCAAATGTCAGCTGCGAAAGTGTCACTGTTCCATTTAAAGGTTACATCTTGTTTTAATGGAATAACTGGGATGCCTAGCATGATATCACATTCCTGGAACCCCTCCAATTTGCTCCTGCATCTCCTGCATGCTGGTAGCTCTTTTTGATGATACTTCACACACACATAGAAATTCTTACTGATGACACTGGTCAAGTATATCACACGGTTTTGTTTGATGGAGGAAGTTAATTGCTTCCATATATCCTTCTCAACCATTGGACAAAAGTAAGCTGTAAAAAGAGTCTCTTGTTTGCATGTGTATTTTTATCTGATGGTCTCTAGAGAAATATGAAAAAAAATATGACAGATATCAAAATATGGAATTATTGTGCATACTCTAAATTAATTTAAACTGATCCGCCATAAAAAACCACATATGCACTGCACTATTAGACAATTTGAAAAACTAAAGGTTTAGAAAGTTCAATCTAGCTATCCCTTAACAGGTTACTTAATGAAAATACAACATTTGCAGACACTTGTTTTTTCATCACTGTCCAATATGATATAAGATGTATTTTGACATTTCATTTAATTGATTATCCACATGTGGTTTAACTCAGCTATTCAATGACATTTAAAGTGAGCTGATTAAAAATATAACCATGCTTTAGGCTGTTATGGGTTGAGTTAAAGCTTGCAAGTGTAAAAGCCTTGCATTCAAGATAAAGGTAACAATCAAACAAGCTCTTGTATGGAACTAGGTAGCTGAAACAATATGAACATGGCCCAAAAAACATAGGCACATCGCAAAGTTGTAATAGAAGCTGAACCATATGGTCTCAGGAGTGTGTCTTTGGACTGACCTTGCCTATGCAGTGGCTAGTACACATATTGATGATACTATGGGAGAGAGAGAAGCTGAAGAAAATCATAGACACGATGACAAAAGCACCGTTCAAGTGATCCCAAGAAAAAGCTGAATCAATGAGATTTTGGGTAGCGTTCTGGTGACAAAGAGCCTTAGGAACTGTGAGCAAAAACTGTCTCCTACTGTTTGATTTGAGCAGTGTTCAGGGGAACAGAACGTTGTGACTTTTTTTTGTAAATAAACAGGTTCACACCGAAGAGATACATGACTCCATCAATTTATCCTTCTGGCTGAAACAATGTGCAGGACCCTGAAAACTAGCTAACCTTTCACTTCGAAAGAGATAATATATATTATGTTAAAAACAATTTGTCCTTGTAGTGATGTAGCAAAAGCAGCACCCTCTTGTGGATCTTCTGGGTGCTGTGAGTCTTCATAGTGGGCTGGAAGAGGAGTCTATCTTCAGTGTCCACTGAGGCCCATTGATTAGTTGTCCCTTGGATTTTATCTCCTTCCAGTGAGGGTTGGGAGGCTCAGCCCCAAAATGTTCAACAATGACTACAAAAAACAAATGTAACTCCATACTGGGACATCTCCACATTTTCTGGGTATGGGAGCCTCCCTGTTTTTAATTTTGGGCTTGGTTCACGGTATGTTTTGAGTATTGCTCATTCCGTGGGATCTTACTGTTCCTCCCTAACAGCTGCTTCAGAAGCTTCCTTCTGAAGAGGGACAGCACTCCATCCTCCTTCTTGGCATGACAGCCCTTTACTGAGCCAGGGGCTCTCCTTCTATTTCCCATCCATGTTTGGCACTGGCTGCAAGTATAGCAGTGAGATACTAACTGGGCCTCAAAACTCTCTTTAAACCCTTCTTTAGGTGACCTCTCTGCCCATCCCGCACCCCGGTCTCTATTTGGTATATGCTCCATATATCCTTTGGCTCTTCTTCTTCCTCAGCAACTCCCCTCCACCTCCACTATTCAGGTGGATTTGCCAGCCCTGTGTTGGACATGGAAGAAGGTCTGGAGGGATAGATATCACCTCATATTCCAAGATTGGTTTCCTTTATGACATGGGATAAGTCATG